TAGGCTGGGTCACCAGATCCCTCACACGCAGGTCTATGAGCTAGGTTACCAGCAAAAAAGGTCCTTGGAAGCTGCAGGCTAGAGAGCATGGCTGCACAGAGCAGATGCCTGAGGCAGACCCCAGCTAGCGTGTGGCGCCATGCAGGCACACTAACTACACACACACACACACACACACACACACACACATACACACACACACAAAAAATTTGCTTACAAAGAATGTGCTGCACCACCCCCAACCAGACAGGCAGGTGGGGGGGGCCTGATTAAATTATTCTATTTTCCCAACCTCCTGATTCTGATATTTTGCCTCCATTTTCCATATTTAAAGGACCTTTGTGATTACATTGGACACACATGGATATCTCCTTATTTTAAGGTCAGCTGATTAGCAACCTTAATTCCATCTGAAATATTAATTCCTCCTTGCCATGTAGTATAACATATTCACAGGTTCTGGAGATTAGGACGTAGACATATTTAGTAGGTCATAATTCTGCCTACCACATTGGTACATAAATTTTCTCATAAAACAATGTTGTTTTTATGTAGATTTGGTTTTTTATATCAACTGACTTTGTCATGGGAATAGGATTAACAGTTATCAGTCATTGACAGCATTGTTATCTAAAGCATGGTTCATAAACCAGCAGGATCAGTGTTATGTATCAGCTTGCTAGGAGTGCAAAATCTTGGTTTTCACTCCAGATGTACTGATTCAGCATCAGCATTTTCATAAGATCTCCAGGTTTTGTTTATGTATGTAATGTATGAGGGTTCTCATGGAAAGATACATATTATCTTTTAATTCTATTTTTCCATGAACTTTTTAAGTTCCCTCATATATATTACATCTTTTTATATACTATAATATATAGTATATGCAGTATACACTCATATGTGTATATTATGTATGTATTTGTATGCTTGTACATATTTGTCTCTATATATGTAAATACAGTCAGCTCTCTGTATACCAAGGGGATTGGTTCCAGGACTACCTGAGAATACGAAAATTTGTGGATACTCAGGTCCTCCAGTTGGCCGTGCCAATCCTGTCCATATGAAAAGTTGGCACTCTGTATAGGTGGCTTCTACATCCCTTGAATACTGTTTTTTCCATCTGTGGTTGGTTAAGTCTGCGGATACTGAACCATGTGTAAGTGGACCCACACAGTTCAAATCCTTGTTGTTTAAGGGTCAACTGTATTTAAGTTTGAGAACCATGGATGTACTATATATTACGTGCTTTATTAAGAGCTTTACATATGTTATTTTGTCCTAATGCAACCCTCTTAAACAGACGTTATTATTTGTACATTTTAGGTGGGGGGGGGGAAACCCATGAAATTCAGGTTTATGTGAGAGCACAGTATAAAGACACAGGGACATGGATTACAACCAAGGTGTGGCCAAATCTAAAACCCAAGCTTTTTTTCTTTATAACGGGCTGTTCAAGAACGAGCTTTTCTTTTATGTTGATGCAAAAGCTGAAAAGCATGATAATGAATTACAAGTTCTTAAAGCCTATTATTTTCCAGTTATCCTGCTCCCTAATTTCCTAACAATTTTTTTTTAATTTTTCAAGATGTTTAAATGCCCTTAGCAAGAAAAAGCAGATTGTCTTAGCACTGACCCTAAAAGCATTTCCTATGTTAAACACAAGATAAAAGAAAAAGGAAAAACAGATTTGGCCAATAGACCATAATTACTTTAAGAAATTAAAAATACACAATTTGATACATACCAAAATGTACACTTACATAAACCATTTGATTTCCTAAGGAATCACTGTAGATATTTTACAGGTTGTAAATTTTGTAATTACTGTTTATATAAGACTGTATTTAACAAATTATTTAGCGAATTATTAGCAGCTATAGAAACCTTGTAGTCTATGTGGTAAATAATATGCATTTCAAAATACATATAAGTTATGGTCTTAACTATAGTCATCTACCACATGATAATTGCTAAAGGCATTTTATTTCTGCATTTGTATTTTGTCAAAAGACGAAAGAGCCAGCTGGACCTTCTTATTTTTTATTCCAATCTTTAGAATTCTTTAGGATCAGTAAAGAAGAAATGATCTTTTCCTTATATATATATATATCAGGAAAATATACAACCTAATCGTTTTTTGACCTCCCTATGATCTTGGACATAGGGACCAATTGAATTTCATCAAAAACTTTTGCAAACCTTTAATAAACAGAACATATTTCTCTTTTAAATCGCTACATTTTATTCATTTTGGCATATACGCATTTGGGGGCATTTCTGCTTCCACTTTATTGTTAAAATATTGATGTTAATTTAATGAAGAAAAATCACTTTATCTGGGTTTTTACCTCCAACTTAGGTGATCAGAATACAATATTTACTTACTAAATGCAACAATAAATTATAAAGACATTTTTAAAAGTAAATAATTCATAAAACCAGAGTACAAAGACACAGAATGTGCCATTTTATTCAACAACATGAATTTTCTTACTTTAATTAAAATATATATATATATTTTTTTTTAAAAAGGAATAAATCAGTTGATTACTTCTGTGATTTGCAAAGAACATGTCTTGGAATAAAAAGGAAAAGGACAGAAACTTGGGTATCCAGGAAGCTGAGAGAGGTTAGGTTAAGCCGAGAGAGAACTTGATCAAGACAACAGGCTTATATTCAGCAGAACAGATTTGGGTCTGTCCAACTCTGGAGCCCATAGTCACTTCTATTAGACCCTGCTACCCACAGTACTAGTGAGCTACCAGAGGGGTTTAGTGCTAATCAAGAGTACCACCAGTAGGCGTAAAGCCTAACCTGGATGAAAATCTGAGAGAATGAGGGAACGAATAGAGAGGTAGTAGAAAGGAGTAAAAGGCAAGATCTATAAGACAGAGAATGTCATCCCCAACATCCTCACATGTTCACCAGCCACCGTCCTTGATTGTCATCCAGTGCTTCAGAAATAGCAAAGCAGCAACTTTGCTAAATAGGCAGTACTGCCATATCCACGTTAGCACAGTGGATCCCCATATGTATTGCTGGCAAGGTCTGTCTCTGAAGATGCTCTTGAGATATGACTCACGCAGGTGTAGGTGAGGCTCACTTTTCTTCCCCCAGCAAAGGCTTTTAGATGGCCCTTTTCCCCCCTGCCACTTAATTCCCTCCAAATTCCTCCATTTCCCAGGAAGGATAAGATTAAACTTAAAATTTAACTTGTTTATATCTTTGTTTTCAATGCTGTAGTCATTGTTCAATGGCTTCTGTATAAAATATTTTCCTTTGTATTCTAGGAAATTTAGGGACCCAAAGATGCATTCCTTTACTCTGAGAAATATGTGATTTGATCTCAAGAGTACCCTGTTGTAACATATTTTGAAAAATATGTCTTATCAAAACGAGATTCTATGGTGAATGTTCTTTACTGGGTATTGCCCACCCTGGGTGCCAGAATCTTGTCTCTAATCATTAGATATATCAGTTCCTTGCTGTGTTCTTAATTTAGTACTTTATGATGAGGACAGTGATCATGATGGTTAATTTATTGAAAATGATTTAGCTCACTAAGAGAACTGTATTCACTTTTCTCTGTGTATATATGTACCCCCAACTCTATGGAACAGACAAGAATGTGGAATAACAGACTATAACAGAACGTTCTGTTCTTAGTTTTACTAAGAATTACCTGAGTAGCTACCATTTGTCAGGTGCTAACTACATGCCACATACTGTGATATGTGTTACATTACATTACCTCATTTAAGCCTCATAACAATCCCATCTGATGAGGAATGACATCTGTCTATAGAAAGTTTGCAGTGGCAGTTCTGGGATTTAAGGCTAGGTTTATTGGAGGCACAACCACCTTGTTGTTCCACATCTATAGCACCTACAACCTTTCTCATCCAGTAAAACCAGAGGATTGTCTGTGTTGAATTTCCAGTGAGAACTGTTTCTATTTGACTCATGTCTGTCTTTCCCTGTGTTGCTGCATGCTTTGTGTTGGGATGTCTGCATCTTGCACAGGTCCTTTTTCAGTCTCACTTATGACATGAAGCAAAGTAAGGTCTTTAGGTAAAGAGTCAGTATTAATGTCTGCACAATACTGCAGTTTCTTTGTACAACCCCAGTTTGCTGAGTCCTCTGTGGGAGTCAGCATCTCCATGCACGTGGCTGCATCAGAACTCTTGGCAGGAAGAGGAGAACACACTGAAGATGGTCCCATGTATGTGTGAGGCCATGAAAATTTGGGGAAAATACCACTGAATTTTATCTAATAATAGTAGACAGAGATAGTATGTTTAATAATTTTATGGGCCACAGCATGTTTTTATACTACAATCAAGGTATACTCTGCTATGAGATCACAGAGGGTAGAAAGATTAAGCCTGGCCAGGAGAACCTGGGATGGATCCTTGTCAGATATTGGATTTGAGCCAGACCTGAAAGACAAGTAGGGTTCTTACAGGTAGACTGGAGGAACAAGCATTTCAGGAAAAGAGCTCTTATTTAGCCACTGAATTTATAGAGGTCTTCACATTTATCTACTCATTTATATTTCCCCCAAATCTTGAAACGTAGGTATTATTACCCCCATTTTATGGATGAGGCAATTTAGACCCAGAGTAATGTACTTAAAGTCACATTATTGGTAAATAGAGGGGTTGGATTCAAATCCAGGCCATAATCTTAATCTCTGCCCCTAGGATGTTCTCTATGCCAGTCTGCAGAGAGGTGGGAAAATGTATGGCCCAAGAGGGAATAGCAGGTAGATGAATTTGACTGTGTATTGAATGAATGTGCATATATGGAGGCAAGTTTCTGTTCCTTCCATGGAGTGGGGTGAAGCGTACAAAAGTGGGGGTACAAAGGAGAATGTTTCTAATAGATCGTGTTTGGTTTTATGTGGCTTCAACTTTAATAGTGGAATCCAACAATTTTTATTGAGACTTTTTACTGAATTACTAATAGAAGATTCCCCACAACTTCCTTTTTAGGCACCTTTGCCTTGACATCCTTAATATCAGCCAATGCTGTGGAACGGCTTGTCCCTCAGAGCAGCCAGAACCTCACCGTACAGACGAACACAAGTGTGCTGGGTTTATCCGACTTTGAGATGCAAAGGATCAGCGTGGCTGCAGCAGTTTCCTTCTTGGGAGGTGTGATTCAGGTGAGCAATACTGAGATTTGGGATTAAAGGAGGGGAAACAGCAAAGGAAAGCCAAGTGGTGCTTCATTTTTATTCTTGTTCATGGGTGTTTCTGTCCAGATGGATAAATGGCAGATGTGTTTTATCTTCATGAAAATACTGTTTACTACCTGGATGGAGTAGTTACTCTTTAAATGCTGGTTGAATAAATGAATTAGTATCAGTAAATTGAAGTTACAGGAAAACAGTTTTTGGCCTTTTAAGAACGAGCTTTCTAAAAAATGTCTTATAAGAGGGAATGAGCTTTCTTTTAAGGCAATGAGGCAGTCCTGTGTTCACACAGTGACCAGATTGTCACTGTACGGAGATGCTCTAGGAGAAATTACTATACTGGGAAGGAGGCGTGACTAAATTTCCAGGGTCCTTTCCAATTTTAAGATATTATGATTTAATTGCCTACATCAGCAACAAATGGCACTTAGTTTGTGCCATAGGCTTGCTGCTCCAAGGTCTTTGGATTTACGTCTGTACCAGTCTTTGCCTCATTCAGCATCAGGCCTGTGTATTGTTGCCAAGTTAGCTTTAGTCTATTTCTTCAAAATATCAAATATGTAATTTTCTGTTTCTAGTCAGTGGTCAAAATTAGATAACTCAGAAGTGACTATAAAATAAATGTAGAAGGGCACTGAATATTACACATGGAACTGCCTGATAGCCAGTTTTGCTTATTACTTTGTGGTTAACTAAATTATTTGTACGTGAACTTGGATGGCTGTGTTCTAGGCTGATAAAGGCTCTATTTTACAGTGTATCATTACTTAAAAGAAAGGTCATGCAAATGCCAAAAAGGGAGAAAAATATTGATGATTGCTGGGAATTGGACAGTAGGAAGAAAAGATGTGACCTAGAAGAAAGGAAATACTGAAATTCTTAGAGTGAATTGCCTTCTAGCTATGTAAAAAGAACTGAAGAATTAAGGATATAAGATGAATGAGAATTCAGGTCTTCATAGTTCTTTGAAAAAACCAGACCATTTGAGCAGCAGCTTTGCCTTGGAGACTGACCAGATGAGAGGTTTTTCTATGGCTTCGTCTATGTTTTCATGAAATAAAAACTAATTGCCTGGGTACCCTGTAACCTTCACTTGATTTTTTTCAAACATGGATGATGTCAGCATATTCTGGGACTTGCACAGGCAGGCTTAGTGGCCTTTTCCTCCTTCCTGGCCTGTGTGAGGCCCTCTAAGAGACCTGTCATGTGTCTTCATCTCAGAAGTAATCAGCCATGTGAACTGGTGGTTCAAACATGGGTTTGGTATAGGTTTTTCTTAATTTCTGTTCATTTACTGTAAAAAATCTCTGTAATAACACAAGAAAGATCACATTGCTTCACCTTCTTGTCCCATTATTTTCCATTCATTTCTTCTTTGAACTTATGATTTTTACTAGGTTTGGACTTTCTTTTATTCTGTAAAGCATGGAACAAGTTAGTTTTAGGTGTATTTAGTGTTTCAAAACTCTAAGAAAATACATAATTAGCAATAAGATTCTAAAACCTTCTGCTTAGTCTCAGTTTAACCATTTTCCATAAGCTTAAAATAATCATCAGGTATTTTGTTATTATCTGGTATGTTTGGATTAAGAACTTAAATAATAAAATTTAAAAGTAAAAGTCAGAATTCCAACAACATAAAAAGTAAATGTCTCATTTCCCAGAATGAAACTCCCTAGAATTATAAGAGTAAAACAGGATATTATTAAAGATAATAAAAATAATCTCATTTTTATGGCCTTTTATTACATGTACAATCTGATCCAGCGAGTTGCATTTTTTCTCTTATAACTTCATCAAACATTTGCTTTCCGTCCTCTTTAGTTCTGGTCCTGGATACATGACCTCCGTTCTAGCAAATTTTTAAGCAGATGGCTGGATTTCATCTGACCTCCAATCTCATTTGTTCGTTGTCAACTAGAACCTCAGAGACTTTTGGATCTTTTGGATCCAGCTTCTCAGTCATTTTTCCTTTTCTCCTTCAGATCTGAAATCCACTGTCTATGGGCCATGCCAAGGTATCCTGTTTCTACAAACACAGGAGGTGTTTGTTTGCCTTGTTTCATTTCTTTGTGTGTGTTGTTTCACTTTTGCTTGTACATTATTCATTTTCAGGTTTTTTATTTTATTTTTTTATTTTCCCTCTGAAGATCCAGCTGATGGAATGATTTAGGTTAATTAGGTAATATTGTTAAGGTGTCTGAAACAATCATGTCTGATGATTCAGTGTGTGTAAGTTAAAAATGCTTTCAGCTGCCAATAACGGAGAAACCTACTATCAAGGGTTTTTTTCTTTCTTTTCTTTCTTTTTTTTTTTTTTTTTTATTCCTAAAGACATTTATTGTTTCTGTATTCCAGGAAGTCACAGAAGCAGGTTCTGGAGGGGCTTCATTGTCTGGCAACTGATGTGCTTTCTTTTATCAGATAAGGGCTCTGTGACTCATCAGTGCATTTCCTTTTTTGCCTTATTTTCTTGTAGTTCACATGTAAGTTTCTTCCCCCTAAATTGTAGCTTTTATTTGTCTAATTTCCCCCCCACAGAACTCCCCCTCTACTTCTTTACTTGACTTATATTCTTTAACATTATTTTAATGATTCTAGTATGTCTATCTAATTTTAACTGGTCTTATGCAATTATTTATTTATTTATTTATTGGATTATACATATTTCTGGGGTACTGAGTTGAATATCAATATCTGTTTCAATATTTCATGGTCAAATCAGGATAATTAGTATACTCATCATTACACAGTGTAATCATTCTTTGTGATTCTTAACCAATTTCTCACTAGCCCCCCTCACCCTTTCCCACCTCTGGTAACCTCAGTTCTGTTCTTTCCTTTTGAAAATTCAATGTTTTATTGGAATAATTAGAAGAAGGTATGGCATAAAATAATAAAGGAAATGTAATAAAATTAAGTTGTATAGTTATAGCAAACTGTCTTCATAACATAAAATTTCTGATTTTATTTTGTGATTTGCTTTTTTTTTTTTTTTGCTTTTCTTCCAACTTTCTGTATGTTTGTAGTATTTTAGTTTGTTTTCTTTTCTATGTAAGGCATTATTTAGGGAACTAAGTTCTTGAGGATAATATAGCATATTAACCCATTTTCAAGTTCTTGTTGCACTTTGCATAGCTCTATATTTGGTAGATTCTCAGAAAGCATGTTGAACTAAAAAACTGAATTATGTATTCAGGAATGTGAAAAGCAAGAAATAACAAACATCATACTAGTTAATAATTTTACGATTTAAAAAAATTAAATGAGTTTGATTTCTTTTGATTTTAATTATTATTAAACCAAGAAAGGACTATTTAAAAAAAAAAAAAGGCATTCTCAGAACTATCACTCACGCCCCTCTCCCTGTTTCTCTACCATTTCCCCTCTATTCTCACCCACCTCCTGTGAAGTAACCTGTCTCATTCATTTCTGGTTTATACTTCCTTTGTTTCTTTTGCAAACTGAGAAGATACCTGCAAATTTTATTTGCCCTTTGTTCTTACATGAAAGGTAGTATTCTTTTGTACTGTGCTTTCTTCATTTAATGATATATCCTGGAAATCACTCCATGTCAGTTCACAGAAATATTCTTCATGCTTTTTTATTGCTGCATAGTACATCATAGTTCATTCAACACATCTTCTCTATTTGGGCATTTAGGTTGATTTCAATATATGGAATTCTAAACAATGCAGTTATGTATGTATATATATATTTCCATTTTGTTAGTAGTGTCTGTTTAAGGTGGATTCCTAGAATGGCATTACTCGATCAAAAGATATATGTAAAACAAAAATAAATGTAGTTTTGTTAAATATTGTCAAATTCTCTTCCAAAGGGGTAGCAGCAATTTGCATTCCCATAGCAATGTATGAGAGTGCGAGGCTCACCAACAGAATTGTTGCCATTTTTATGTCAGAATTTTAGTCCTATTCCTCTAAAATTTTAAGACTTCTTTATATAGAATGAATATTAGCCTTTTATCTGTGGTATATATTACAAATGTGGTATTTATTACAAATGCATTTAGTACAAATTTACTAATTTGGCAGTTCTTTGATTTCATTTTACCATGCAATTTTTTTTTAAAAAACCTTGTAATGTAGTCAAATTTATCAATTCTTTCTTTTATTGCCTGTGGATTTTGAGCCAGTGTTAGAAAATTTTTTCCTACACTGAGTTTATAGAGGAATTTATCCATATTTTTTCTAGTACTTCTATGATTTAAGGTTTTCTTTTTTTTTTTTTACATTTAGACTTCTAATCAGTGTGGAGTTTATTTATGTGTATGATGTGAGGTGTGAATCTAATTTTATTTTTTTCCTAAGTGACTGCCTAGTTGTGCAAGCAACATTTATTAAAAAGTCCATTTGTGCTTTTGTAATTTAAGATGTCACCTTTATCATTTCCATATTAACTTAGATGTACTTTGGGACTTTCTATTCTATTTTACTCTGTACATCTATTCTTGTGACAGTAGCATACTGTTTTATGAAGATTTAATAGTATGGTTCAAAGTCTGGTAGAACCAGTCCACCTTTTTAGATTTTTGGGGGTTTTTTTGTGTGTATGTTCTGGCCACTCTTGCATGTTTGTTCTTTCTTATGAACTTCCTTTATGAGCATCAATTTGCCTAGCCCCATATAAAAAGCTTGTTGATATTTTTATTAGGGTTGTGCTAAATCGACATCTTTATGATGTTTGAGTTTCCTACCTAAGAACAGAGGATGCCTTTCCTTTTGTTTCAATCTAATTTTGTGTCTTCCAGAGTGTTTTAAAATGTTTCTCTTATATGTTTTGCATATTTTTGTAAAGTTTATTCCTAAGGATTTAATTTTCTTTGTTTCTATTATAAATGGGGTTTTCTTTACCATTATATCCTCTGGCTAAGTTATTGTTTATGTCTGAAACTCTTTTTATTTTTGTATGGTAATTTTACATCTTCTTACCTTACTGAGATCTCTTAT